CTCTCATTTTCTCTCCCTCTCTGCTTCCATCGATACACTGATCCATCTCCTCCATCACTTCATTACCTCTAAGATTTCTGTGCTTCCGCCTCTATTCTTCTGTTCAATCTAAGCTTAATCCTATTAATCTCTTCATCCCCGGCTTCATCGCTGTATGATATTCTTTATCTCTGTCTGTTATTGGAGGAGGAGGAGGGCAAACTGGCGAACTTCTCTGAGGACGAAACCGTTAATTTAAACAAAAGCAAAACGTGTGAAACACCTCAACAGTTTTTTGTGTGAATAATTAACAAATACAGTCAAAAAGCTCTTTCTCTGATTTATTTCAAACACTTGCAAAACGACCTGCCAGCAAATAAAGAGACTCCGGGACGTCGCTTCAAAGTAGTAAACACTAAACGGACTTTATGATGATTTCAAAGTGTTCAGGTAACTGGATAGGCTGTTTCTCATGAGCTGATGTCGGCTCTCGGTCTGTGTGCACTGAAGCAGAGGTCGTGGCTGGAAGACCTCGGCCCTGTGGGAAGACCGAGTTTTCCTGCAGTAACCGACGCTGTGTCCCGATCCAGCTGCAGTGCGACCTGTTCAGTGACTGCGGGGACGGCGGCTCAGATGAGCAAGACTGCAAGGCATGTAAGTACGGCACAAGCTGACGTCAAAGGAGCCGTCGGTGAGATGAAAAGTACCAAATGTTACCGCGACGTTATCAGAAAGTGAAGCTATTCCTCGTTTTAGACAGAATGTTTTGTTATTTATGCTAATACATGTGCGGCCGTGCCTGCAGGGTGCTTTGTAAAAGATGGAGATGCTCCTTTGGCTTTTGCACATGAAAGGAGGAGCCCAGCAGGGCTGATGTGTAATCTGCCTTTATTTGTAGTTTCCAGTGGAGATGTATGTGGAAAGAAAACCAATCCGTGTGGAGAGGACGCCATCTGCAACCAGACAAATGCTAATTCTATATGTCAGTGCAAACCTGGCTTCAAGAGGAATCAGAAGACGGGCCAGTGTGAAGGTAACCGTGTATCATGTAGTTTCTATGGTCTGGCTTTTAACTCACACTGGCAGCCTTAGCTGTTGTTGTTTTAGTTGTTTTTATTGACTTATTTTTTTTGTTTTTCTATATTTTACTGCATCATTGTTGTGCATTTTATTTACTTTAGTGGCATTTTACATGAAACTGACTGAAATGTGCTATAAAAATAAACTTAAGAGCATTTTACATATTTCCTTATTACGTATCTGTTCCTTCAGTTAGTTTAGAGGAAACTGGTTGGTGCCTGTTGTTCATTTTGAGCGAGTTTAGTCCTGATAAAACCTGCCAGCTGTCAACAGGTGAGTTTGTGAGTCAAACCTGAGTAAAACTGGGGAAATAAACGGTCTTAATGTGACTTTATAACGTGTTTGTAAATGTCATACATGCACACAGTTACGTGGAAAACATTTGCAGCATCATAAATGAGGCTGTACTTTTTTGCAGAGATAAATGAATGTCTGCAGTTTGACGCTTGTCCTCATTACTGCGCGAACACCAAAGGATCCTATAAATGCTCATGTGACCGGAATTTTAAGGAGATCAACGGCAACTGTGTAGTAAGAGGTATGCTAAGAAAACTCAGTGTATCCACTGTGGTGACTTCTCTG